AAGTCAAAGGGGTGATCAAGAGATAAAGCCTGAGCAACAAACTCATGGTCTGTGCGATAAATGCCAAAAGTGACCGATGCCGGCCTTTTATTCAAATCCTGAGTCTTCTTTGCAGCGACCACGCCCCCATCACAAGTCACGCGAAGGAGACGAGAGCCCGGAGGAACCGACCCCACAGCACAACGTAGGTTTCCTTTGTCATCCAAGGGCAACGGCCAAGGAAAATCATGAAGCACCGCTTGACACTTGAACTCGGCAATTTGGGGCTGGTACTTAGACATCTTTGGCTGCTTGCCGACTGCAACCTGGGACGCCTGATTTGAACCCTGCACTGGGCAGGCATGTTCAAGCAAAAGGCCCGCCTGGCCCACAGCCAACTGCAACAAGCCAGCAAACAAGTCGCAGAAACGCGGAGTGTAAAGCACGTCCGGGGACAACGCACCTGCAGCATGCGCGCCTCGTTTACACGAGCAAGTTGGGGCCAGCCAGCGAGGCAAGCCTGGTTGGTCAACAATTGCATGGGCACCGGAGTGCGGCACCCATGCAGCCCGAACAGAATTGCACGGCATGCACATCATCGACGACATCAAGCTGTGCCCACAAAGACGACTTTGCAGGATGCAGAATGCTCCACCCCAGCTTAGAGGCTTGCAAAAGGTTTGCAAGCTGCACGGATTTGTGAGCGGGCATTTCAGGCTTGAAACAGTCCTTTGTGATCGGGTAAAAGTGCACATGAAACGGCCGGTCCTGAGTCACGATGGTCTTCAAAAAGGAAAAGCCTGCATCCGTCTCGACATCCACAGGCATAACATGAATGTGCACACGACCACCGGGGCGGCCATGTTCGGCCGCAACGACCTGGAATCCATCTTTGCGCATCCTGGCCGACAGCAAACCGAACCCACATTTAATGTCCAAGAAGACCGCACTACTGGGCTTCAAGGGCTTAGTGGGCTCGCCATGAACTAAACCCAGGGATCCTAGGGACCCTTCGGCAGGAGGGGCAAGCCTAGGCGAGACCACGGGGGACTTAGAGGGCTCAGCAGGATGTGCACCCGAGACAGGGCAAGAGCGATATCCTACAAACTCTGCAGGCATCAAAGCCACATCCTCCGGAGCAGATCCCGGAACCTTGACGCCCCTTTGCTCAAGAAAGGCCTTGTGCTCTCGGCTCAACGATTCAACATGTCTGACGGTGTAAGCCACCAAAACCACTCGGCGCCCCTGCCAGGCTTCAGTGTGGTGAACGCAATGTCTAGCATCAAACCTCACCGGGCCGTCCGCCACCGCAAGACGACTGCCCACACTGCCACTGCTGCCTGAAATATCAAGGCCACCTGGATGCTCCACAAAGATCGCACCCCCGGAGAATTGCGTGACAGGAATCGCCAAATTATGCAAGTTGGCATTCCACTGGTCCTGGTGTGGCTCAGTACAGACGTCCTGAAAGATATTTATTGAAGTGAACTGGAATCCCGGCACACAAAGATTTACAAACTTAGCAAACAATTCAAGCACATCCGGACGACTTGAGGCATTGGCCTTAAGTCCCACAGCTCCCCCAAGGACATAGGCCCCGGTGCTGTAGGATTTAGTGGTCCCGATTGCAGAATTTTGACCCCTCCGCAAAGGATCGGCAGGCAAGCTGGTAAAGACCTCTAAAACCTCGGCTGCCAATGCCTTGACCTCAGAAGGGACAGCACCTGACGCCGCAGCCGGAGCCGCGACGACAGGGCTCGGCTTAAGCCTGGGAGACCGACTGCGCGCAGACGGATCCACGCTCTCGTGGTGGCACGGATGATCCTCACGATCATCCTTATCTGCACGATGGCACCCCACGCTGTCTGGAGGGGAACCATCGCCACATGCATCCTCGGGCGGATGAACCTCATCACGAGGATCAACCTGGAATCCATCACACGGCCGGGGCACGCTAGCTGGAGCACCGGCCATGACTGAAGGAATCGCCTGATCTTCACATTGCATTCCCAGTGCAGCCGCAGCACTAGGATCCAAAGGCTCGCCTAGTCACGAACCTCCCTGTGCCCGCTTCGGACACTTTGCAGCACCATGGTTGTGGGCACCGCATTTCGGCACTGCACAAATGTGCAGCCCCTTCTCACATCTCTGGCCCTTTGTAGCACACCCTTCAAGGTTGAATGCAAAACAAATCGGGTCACCACGATTTGTGCAGGATCGGCACCCCTCAAGCCCCGGTGGGAGCCTGGTCATGAACCGGGTCTTGGTCTTTCCTTTGCCCTTCCCGCCCCTGCCGTAAGGGGTGGGCCTCTCACCTGGGATCGCGGGAGCCCTTGCCGCACCTTCACGTACGGACGGGACGGGGAAAGGCTGAAGCAAGCAGGCCACCTCGTTCATGTACATGGTGTTAGGCAACAGCCCATCCAACGGACGGCCAGCTGCCGTGGTCTGAACTCCCGCCCTGGTCAAATCCCTGAGCTCGTTGAACAACTGGCGATCAGCGGACTCCAACTGTTTCCAGGTGGGCTTTGCGAAATTATCAGCCGGGGCCTGCATGCGGGCCTTCATGAGCCTCTGAGTCCACTTGTCCGAAACACTGAAGTCGATCAAGTTGGTCTGGTCCAGCGCCAGAGCCCTCCTGGTCAGGGCCTGTTGCACAAGAATTTCCGTTGATGTATCTGCAACAAGCTCCGGCTGCTTCTGTTCAATTTTAAGCTTCCCCGAGGACTCCTCCACGGTGAACCTTACATCGCGCTTCCTTTGAAACACACCTCTCCCAAGGAATGTAACGCAACTCGTTTGCCTCGTAAGAGGCCACTGCCAAGTCTACCAAAGCGTCCGCTGGCTCCAAAGGGCCTTTCAGAGAAATACCAGTAAGCTTCTTGGCCTNNGCCTGCCTCTCGTATCTCTCCGATCGCTCCGGTTGTGACAAGGGGCGAACGGTGGACTCAGGATCAGCCTTCTCGACCCTCTGTTTCATCTCTGCAGTGACGATGGCGAATGCTTCGTTAAAAATGGCTCTCCAATTGGCCTTGTCTGCAATCGCAAGATCCCTTTTAAGAAGGTCCTTGAGGACCTTCATGAGTGGCTCCTCATCAGTCTGCCCTGGAGTGAACGATGAGATGAAGGCCAGCCGCCTGAGGTTGCCCACCTCTGGCGAAATCTTCTGGATGTCTTCTGCAGAAAAGCCCACAGCACAAACGAGCATTCAGCACGGAGAGACTCTCTGAGTAGTTGGCCATCACAGCAAACGACCCTAGGCTAACTCGATTAAATGCACTGACATGAAAGTCATGCCTAAGCACAAACTGTCAAGCTCATGCCATGAAACTCACATGTGGTACACAGACTGCAAAGACTGAGCCGCAATCCCTTTCAAGAAAAGTGAAGCATGCCCCGACTAGCAGACGGCTCAGAACGCGCACCAGACTTCTTTCAATCCCTCCTCAGTCACGCTTCTTCGGCGGACAGCACGTTCTACACAACGGGAACAAAATCCTAGGCACATTCGCGAGCCTGGTGTAGCGAGTGGAAATGCTCCTCCCGCACCTGAACTTGTCGCCTTCTTCTGAAGCGGCAGCATGAATGAAACGACTGTCACGATTCCTGAAAAGTGGTACAGCAGCCAGCTCTTCCCTTAGCCCCGGATCAGGCTCCCACTGATGACCAAGCTCATCGGCAGCTCCCTCGGCCGCCTCGTGATCAACGTCTTCCGCATCATCACTGGCCTCAGATGACGAGTCGGACAAAACCTCGTCTGGCGGCAGAGGCTCGCCTTCCGGCTCACGGGAACTTTTCACGAAGAAACCCGATCTGGTGGCATCAGGGCGAAACTTATCAAGAGCAATTTGCAAAATCACCTCTTGAAATTCCCTAACGGGCTTCGCCATGTTGTCACGGCCATACACCAACTCTGTGCCATCACGACCCTTGGCATGGTATCCCAGCGTTGCCCTTATTTCCCGGCAAAGTCCAAACTTCGCACACCAAGAAAGAGGCGTAACCTTAAGGCTGTGGGTGCCCAAAAGATCCACGATGCTGCGATCACACCCCGCTCTAATAAGAAGGGCCTTCAACCATTTAGTCGCACTGGCCACGCTAAGCGGTGCAGACTGCCAGCCACCCCCGGTGAGAGGGCATGGCAGCAACGGCTTGCCTGGCCCCAGCGGGGGCCCATGCACTTTGTAGAACTCAAACCAAGGGAGCCCCCAAGCCAGTTCTCCGACCCCTTCAATGGGGGCGAACATGTGCAAATATCTGACCTTTCTCTCCAAAGAAAAGGAGGTCTTGCTTCTCTCCACCGGAGCTTCCAAATACCCCACCACCCCATCTTCGGTGTTACTCAAGTCACAGAACAGTGCACCGGCCGCCTGAGCATCCGAGTATCGTGCTCGCGCGTACAAGGCCCACAAGAAGAAACCAGCGGCCACTCTATCTGCCGGCTCCATTTGGATGGAGCCTGTTGCAATGGCCTCCAGCTTTCGAACATGTTCAACCTTGAGCGGCGGCCTCTGGCGGGTCTTCCTTTTATCAATTAACGAAGGGCGCAGACGTTAGGAG